GCACACAGCTTCACCTAACTAATTATTAATTTTGTTTAGTTATGTCATTTATAATTTGAATAAGAGATCAACACCAATAAGCAATAACCAATTTTTTTTAAAAAAAGGTTTTATTTATTACATAATAGACCGGATTTTATTGTATTTTTTCAGGAAACGGGCAGACTAGAATAAATAGCGACACAGTAGCGAACAATAAACGATAGAATTGGTGAAACAAAAATTAAATAGCCTAATGAATCCAAAGTTTGAACATTTATGAGTAGGCTAAAACATCTAAATATGATATCTGGATCGCTGTCAGATGCTGAGCCCCAGGACACATCACTTATCTCCCCACCATCAGACTCTCCATCACTCACGGCATTTAGTGCTTCTAATACCTCTTCGGCATTCATAAATCACTTTTTTTTACACATTGTGACTTTATTTATGAAACTGATAAATGCTAATTCAGTGAGTGAAAGGCGTTGCCTAGCAATGAACAATGTTAAAACATAGGCGGCGTGAAAATACAGGCATTATATAGTGACCCCCTGGCGCTTATAGGTATAAATGCTCTGGTTTTATCTAAACCATTTTTAACAAAAGAAGTTTATAAATTACACAATTTTAGTAAAAGTCAATGACTGGGAGACTTGAATGTTTTATTGAAAATCTGTTATGTACATTTGAAAAACTGTTTCTAGTGTTAACAATACTTTGAGCATTTATTGATCAAAGTTAATGTTAATTTCAACATTTACTAATGCATTATTCAAATCAAAAGTTGTGCTTGTTAGCATTAGATAATGCACTGTGAATTAACATGAACTAACAATGAACAACTGTATTTATCAACTAACATTAACAAAGATTAATAAATACTGTAATAAATGTATTGTTCATTGTTTGTTCATGTTAGTTAATACATTAACTAATGGAACCTTATTGTAAAGTGTTACCGAAATCTGTAATATAAAAGGGAGTTATAGTTGCAGTGAGTAGTGCAAGAGCCTGCATTTGAATCGTTTTATCATTGTCACTTTGATCTCATTGTAAATCCTAAGAATCGATAGATGCTAGGGTTGTCAAAAGTACCGACTTTGGTACCAGTCGGTACTGAATTTAAAAAATGTGAAGATACCAACATTTCCTGCTAGCATTTGAGCGGATTCTTAAACACAGCTGATTGGCCATTGTGTTCACACAATCAACCTTGGCTACAATGATAATCGCTTCATGCTCTTCACGAACGCTTACACAGATACACACAGGAGCATTTGAAAGCCGCGTCTATCAGCAGATCCCTAATGACGGATCCGCTGACAGATGCCTCCCAGTCAGCAAATTTCCTTTGGTTCGGATCTGGCCCATATCAACAGCTAAATTGTGGCCAAGATTAGTACGTGTTTGCCGGCCCAGAACTAGTCCACATCTTTTTAGCCAGAACTGAACCAAAACAATGCCATAACCCAACCTGAAGTGAGACAAATCATAAAAAAAAGATGTGGCTGATATATGAACCTTATACAGTGTTCTATAAAGGGCTGATGGCCCTGTGGTTGATACAGGGCCATCATGTGGCTGATAAACCAAAAGCCATTATTTTGATATTTAAAAAAATAAAATTAAAGGAAGAAAACCAGAAAGAAAAGAATACAACATTATGCCCTAGACAGGTCTTTGGCACCCTGCAGCTGTCACATTCAATCTGAAAAAATTGAGATCATGGATGAATAAAACCTTAAATAGCAGTTTCATATAGAGAAATGAAATCATGCCCTCAGCTCAACATACCCAAGTGTCCACTTTGTCTTCTGTACAAGCATATACATTACCACAGGCCAAGCATAAGTCACTTAGGTCTTCTATGAAAAAAAAAACAATTATATATATATATATAACAACTCTCAAGATATTATACATAGTCATGACATTTACATAAATCACATAATTTACAATCACATAATTTAGTTTGCACACAAACACTCCACATGAATTGCCATCTGTCTGTAAAATGTGTGGTAAAGTCACACATTTCCTTGTAGTGCCCTGGAATCCTTTGTGGTCCATGAAACCCCTTTAAGAGAGCGAGAGAGAGAGGGTTAAACACACACATTTTATCAGGTTCATCATGCATTGTGGTTTATTTACTCCCACCTCACAGCGGTGATCCAATTTCTTGCTGCCTTCGCCAAAGGTGTTCATGTAAACAATCCTTCCTTGTTGAGGATATATCAACTACAATTATTCCTAACCTCTGAATTGTGCCATTAAGCCTCTCTACCAGTCCATTAGTTTACGGGTGGTATGTTGCACATAAGCTCCTGTTGATGCTCAGTGTTTGGCACACACCTAGATTGATCTGTATATACAAGACACAAGTTTAATTTTTAGTTGAGCAAGAATTTCATAAAAAAATTAAAAAAAAGAAAGAAAAAAGCTCTTTCAAGAGAATCACATAAATTGAAATAGAAAAAAAAAAATTTGGTCCCACTCCTTACCCGTATCCCACCTTAATAGCAGCAAAAGTGTTTTGCAATGATCTGATAAAACAAAGGAATATTTCTGTCTACATGTACTCATAAACGTGTGTGTGTATATATATATATTAGGGCTGTCAACTGATTAAAAATTTTAATCTAATTAATCACATCCTTTTTCTGTGATTAATCGCACACTTCATGAAATTAAGCATAGACCATTTATCTTGTTTCAAATGTTTATTTTGTCATCATTTGCTATATCCAGCAAAGTAAACCAAAAGATTGAAGGGTGATTCTCAAAAATCTATATTTTTGCAAGCTTTTTTCAAGATAAATTTAGATGTCTTTCCAAAGAAGGACGCTTACAAACTCCAAAAGGACACCAAAGAACCAAATGATGTAAAGAGCCCATATAAGCACAAAAGAGAAAAAAAATCTAAATTGTATAGTACTTCTTAAGTTGCAGCGCGTTGAGCTCTCTCGGCCACCGTAAGAAACTTTTGAAAAAAGCTTAGTGGTATTATTTAGTGATGAAACATCTCACAGTGAAGCACTGTACCGAAGCTTGATTCGTTCTGCCAAAACCATGTGATCTGTGACATCCGAAGCTTCGTTTTCGCACACAACCACGTTACTGCTTCGTATTCTGATTCAAATAATGCAAACCACTTGTGCAGTTTCAGGTGTCACTCACGTCTTTGAAAAGAATAAATCATAATACGTCATAATGCGGATAAATATTTGCATACATGCATGTGTAGTGTTGTGCATGTTCATTTTGTATTAATTCCTGGTTCGCAGACACTTTAACTGACCATTCTATGATAATCTTCGGTTATTTTGATCATAGCCTATATATGCCTACAGCCTTGCCTATTTTTTACCACAAATGTATTCACAGACTCATTTATTCATATTGTGTAATACAGTGACTGACATGGACTTATTTATATAGACTTCATATTTTCTTTGCTTTATACAGGTTTTCATAGCACAAACTGATTTATTATCTGAAATAAAGGGAAATAAACTTTTTTTTACTTGAGGGAAAGCCTCGGCGCTTCGCAAAGCTTAATTTTTCCATGACAAGTATTTGTGAATCTGCTATTCATGCCTTGAATTAATCCTTCATCATACCGTTTGAATGTGTTTTCTGTATGTGAATTTTCTATGATTTTCAGCATGCACACAAGACTTTTATTTTGGTATGACGATGTGACGTCAGAAGTCTGCGCCGCGCTCCTGCGTCTGTGATTCGGCTGAAGAAAGGTATGTGTTTATAATAAGTGTTCAAATAAAGTGTTCAAATCAAAGCAACCAGTTCAGACAATTTTATGATTTTATAAGCAATGTAAAACTGCTTAATACGGAATGTTAACATTTGAATGCTTTATATAACTTTAATTAACATTATTTTGTATGAATAACGGAAACATTACGCCTCATTTCGCTCCCTGTATCGTGAATCTGTTTATCATAAACACAAATTTATGATTTGTGTTTATGATAAAACGGAGAAACGGAGCTTTTGAAACTTTTTCGAGTCGATTGAATCAATTACTTCTTTAAATGAGTCACTGTTTTGAATCGCTCGAATCACTTGCTGCTCAAAACAGTGTAAATGCAACGAGAACAACATTTACAAATCCAACAGCAAATGTTTTCATGAAAGTGGAATCTGTTCAATTTTGATCTACAAATCATTAAATGCCCAATGTAATTCATAACTAAACATTAAATGTATATATAATTTGTGTTTGTAGTTTTGAATGTTTTTTTTAATCAGGTGATTTCAGGCCAGACTGACTCCCTTACCAGTGTGCTGACTACTGAACCAGGGAGCTGATTGAGATTTAGTTTGCATTTATTTTTTCTTTCTGTTAATGTTAAACGGGACAAAGTGTCGAAACAGAAACTCCTGCTGAATCAACTGAGATCCACGTGACACACTATTATAAAGATGGTGTTCGTTAAAGAGGAGAGTGAAGACATGAAGAATGAAGAAGCATTCAGAGTCAAACATGAAGATACTGAGGAACAAACAGAGATGGTGTTTATTAAAGATGAGAGTGAAGACACGAGGATTGAAGAAACATTCAGAGTCAAACATGAAGATACCGAGGAACAAACAGGTTGGTTTTCATTCTCAAAGCTGAACTCATTTGATCCTTATTAAAATGTCCAGCTCCGCAGAAATGAAAGATATTTGTGAAGAAATGGAAAAATACTACAGAAGAAGTCTGAACAAAACAGTTATTTTGTGTAACATTTAAACCCCAAAATCTACTTTTGGATTAAAAACTACGAAAACCATACATTTATATAACTTAATTATGCAACAATATCTAACAAACACTTTATTTTGCATTAAGTGAAATGTGAGTGATTACATTATGCTATTATACATTATTACATATGCCAACATACCTTAACATAAATACACTCCAAAATAAATATATCAATAAAAATAAAACTTCTTGTCAATTGGGCTACTTCACATTTATTAACATATTAGGTATTGGTTAAGTATTTAAAAAAATATATTAATTAAGTTTATTAAACATTTATTAGGTAACTAATTAATTATTTGAATAAATTGAAGTAAAAAACATTAATTAACTTCAGTTTCCCTTAAAATTAATATTTTACCTTCAATCAAAATAAATAATTTTGTTTCATTGATGCATTTATTGCAGCACCTGAAAATAGTCCCCAGCACGCTCCCTGTGCAAGCAGGTGGTCACGTTGGTTATGTTGACGGAAGTTAGCCTATTTTCAGGCGCTGCGTAATATCATTGCGCCTGGCTTTATACAGGTTTTCATAGCACAAACTGATTTATTATCTGAAATAAAGGGAAATAAACTTTTTTTTACTTGAGGGAAAGCCTCGGCGCTTCGCAAAGCTTAATTTTTCCATGACAAGTATTTGTGAATCTGCTATTCATGCCTTGAATTAATCCTTCATCATACCGTTTGAATGTGTTTTCTGTATGTGAATTTTCTATGATTTTCAGCATGCACACAAGACTTTTATTTTGGTATGACGATGTGACGTCAGAAGTCTGCGCCGCGCTCCTGCGTCTGTGATTCGGCTGAAGAAAGGTATGCGTTTATAATAAGTTAAAGTGTTCAAATCAAAGCAACCAGTTCAGACAATTTTATGATTTTATAAGCAATGTAAAACTGCTTAATACGGAATGTTAACATTTGAATGCTTTATATAACTTTAATTAACATTATTTTGTATGAATAACGGAAACATTACGCCTCATTTCGCTCCCTGTATCGTGAATCTGTTTATCATAAACACAAATTTATGATTTGTGTTTATGATAAAACGGAGAAACGGAGCTTTTGAAACTTTTTCGAGTCGATTGAATCAATTACTTCTTTAAATGAGTCACTGTTTTGAATCGCTCGAATCACTTGCTGCTCAAAACAGTGTAAATGCAACGAGAACAACATTTACAAATCCAACAGCAAATGTTTTCATGAAAGTGGAATCTGTTCAATTTTGATCTACAAATCATTAAATGCCCAATGTAATTCATAACTAAACATTAAATGTATATATAATTTGTGTTTGTAGTTTTGAATGTTTTTTTTAATCAGGTGATTTCAGGCCAGACTGACTCCCTTACCAGTGTGCTGACTACTGAACCAGGGAGCTGATTGAGATTTAGTTTGCATTTATTTTTTCTTTCTGTTAATGTTAAACGGGACAAAGTGTCGAAACAGAAACTCCTGCTGAATCAACTGAGATCCACGTGACACACTATTATAAAGATGGTGTTCGTTAAAGAGGAGAGTGAAGACATGAAGAATGAAGAAGCATTCAGAGTCAAACATGAAGATACTGAGGAACAAACAAAGATGGTGTTTATTAAAGAAGAGAGTGAAGACACGAGGATTGAAGAAACATTCAGAGTCAAACATGAAGATACCGAGGAACAAACAGGTTGGTTTTCATTCTCAAAGCTGAACTCATTTGATCCTTATTAAAATGTCCAGCTCCGCAGAAATGAAAGATATTTGTGAAGAAATGGAAAAATACTACAGAAGAAGTCTGAACAAAACAGTTATTTTGTGTAACATTTAAACCCCAAAATCTACTTTTGGATTAAAAACTACGAAAACCATACATTTATATAACTTAATTATGCAACAATATCTAACAAACACTTTATTTTGCATTAAGTGAAATGTGAGTGATTACATTATGCTATTATACATTATTACATATGCCAACATACCTTAACATAAATACACTCCAAAATAAATATATCAATAAAAATAAAACTTCTTGTCAATTGGGCTACTTCACATTTATTAACATATTAGGTATTGGTTAAGTATTTAAAAAAATATATTAATTAAGTTTATTAAACATTTATTAGGTAACTAATTAATTATTTGAATAAATTGAAGTAAAAAACATTAATTAACTTCAGTTTCCCTTAAAATTAATATTTTACCTTCAATCAAAATAAATAATTTTGTTTCATTGATGCATTTATTGCAGCACCTGAAAATAGTCCCCAGCACGCTCCCTGTGCAAGCAGGTGGTCACGTTGGTTATGTTGACGGAAGTTAGCCTATTTCCAGGCGCTGCGTAATATCATTGCGCCTGCCGCACCCATGGTACGGCAGCAAAGCTCCTTGATTATTACGCCGGAATGAGAGTATAGTTCCTAGCCATATCGGCCTAGAAAATCGCAACATTTCATTTTCCGTCAGTCTTAGTACTCGATGTAACTAAGAGTAACTAAGGTTTTAAATAGGAAAAATATAAAAACTCTTTGGTCATTTTTGAGCAAGATGCTAACTATCTAATCAGATTCAATGATCTATGCTAAGCTACAGCTAAAAGTGCTACTGCCAGACCCGGAGATCGGCTGAATGGATTCGAAAATGGTAAAACTCAACTGTTTAACTCTAGGGGAGTTGTAAAATGAGCCTATTTTCAAAAATAGTGGAGTGTTCCTTTAAGTTTAGGTATTGGGTATGATTAGAATTGGTCCCTACACTAAAGTGTTACCCTTTTTTATTAATTTTTTTATATGAATTTTCATCATTTTCAAACCTAAAATCAGCAAGCTTTTATTTTGGCGGTTTGCCGGCAAGTAAGTATATGCATTTCTGGTTTAAGCACTGCCAAGTGAATGAAATGTCACTGTCCCGCCCGCTGTTTTATTCACTGACACACTCTCCCCTGGGAGTGGATGCACTAGCTCACAGCTGGCTGAAAGTACACAAGTATGCTTTTCCTCCAGTGAAACTTTTGCCTCGCATGCTTTGCAAAAATCAGAGAGGAAAGGGAATCTGTTCTGTTACTGGCACCGGAATGGCCCAATCAGCCGTGGTTCCCAGAACTGGTGGAGATGCTGGTAGCCCACGCAGGAATGTAGAGTAATGCACTTTTGCTGTGCCCTTTTTACTTTTGCCTCGCATGTGCTGTCAGTGCGAGCAGCACACGCGCCTACTCGGCCTCAGTTATGATCTGAGCTGCTTGCCTCAGTGGTTTCGACTAGGTCGTATACACCCCTATTTTGACGTACCACTAACTCAATGCTGTCCCTATCAACTTATTACATTATGATATTGTTCATCACATCTTTTAGGACATGATCATCATCATACTCTGCTTATTTGAGCTAATCTATATGTGATTCCACATTCTCTGTTTCACCGGCGTTAACTCTGCCCCTGGTGTGACACAGCATCTTCTAGTTGCCGTGCCTCCCTTGACTTTAACATGGTTTTTACTAGGTACTGTAGACCTGAGCTGTTTAACAAGTGTGCCAATATCATTGCCGCTCTCATTACGGTTTTGTATGTGAACCTTTACATACTTAGTCGAGTCAGGCTCCATCGCTGTGACACGGCGGGATTTTATACATTCCCATAGCAATGTAGAGTGACCGAATCGAAAGGGAATGCTCCGAGAGCATTAGCTAACAACGTCACACCTCATAGAAGGCAATTGATCCAATGAGAAAGTGTACTTCCTGGGGGAAAGTTTACGACCCTTTGTCTTCGAGCATGATGTTTTGCAAATGTAGTTTGATTTGATGTTTGATGAAGAAACTATAAAAAAAAATTATATAATACCAATATGTTGCATAGGTATCACCATATAATGCAAAACATCATCTATGAATTTTCAAAAGGAGATAGATACCAAACATAGCATAACTGTGTTTGATTGAACGTGTTGTTGAAGCTCGTGAGCAAGATGGGATTTGAATTTTGCCGTCCGAAATTGTAAGTGGTTTAAAAGTGGAAAAAAAGTAAAAAGAATCAGGACTCCTAATAGAATATCAGGCTAACACAAACCCACATCGTTCAACATAGTTTTGCAGTTCAGAGTTTCAGAGCAGAAACAAAAGCTGCTGCTCTTCGTATCATTTTTTTGTTGCCTCCTTTCACATTCATATGTAAATGGCACTAGCTTATTTTATATTATTAGACTGAACAATCAGAAAAAGCCCATGTGTACACCCGCCCATAGACCCTCCCATCAAAATTAGGACAGAAGTGGTCGAAAGTGGACAAAAAAGATGGATGAAAACACCAGGTGTAAATGGGAACATGTCTCTGTCGTCCACTTGTGGTCCGATCGACCAAAACGCATCTTAAAACCAGGTGTAAACAGGTCCGTAGAAGTGAAACTCTACATTCCTTTGAGTTGTAAACTAGTCTTACCTTAATGTCATGTCTTTGTAACCAGAGGCCTGGTTCTGCCTAGGTGTTAGTTTGGGGGTAGTTCACATAACTCTAACTCATAGTGTGCTTGTTTGCCGTTATAAAATATTAGAAAATTATTATTATTACCAATGTCAAATTCAGTTCCTGGAGGGCCAAAGAGTTTAGCTCCAACTCTAATTGAGCACACCTTTTGTTTGACAGTTTGACTTTTGTTTGAGGAGTTTGACACTCCTTTTTTAGACATAAATGACAGATTTCTTTGTTACTGATTTCCGTTCTACTGGTTCTTTTAAACAGGTGTATTTGTTTCTTTTCACTCTAGACCTGAAAGAGGAGCATGAAGTACTGAATGAAATGCAAGATAAGTATCATTATAAGAAACATCATGATTTCAAAACTGGACAAAAATCAATTAGTTCAAAGAGTGCAAAGACTTCCTCAGGAAAAAGAGCTCAAAAGACTGAAACTAGAAGTCATTTCACCTGCCAACAGTGCGGAAAGAGTTTTGAACAACGAGGAAAACTTAAAGTCCACATAAGAATTCACACCGGAGAGAAGCCATACACCTGTAAACAGTGTGGAAATACTTTCAATGAAAAAGGAAACCTTAAAAAACATATGAGAATGCACACTGGAGAGAAGCCTTACACCTGCAAACAGTGTGGAAAAAGGTTCAGTCAACAAGGAAATCTTAAAGTCCACATGAAGGTTCACACCGGAGAGAAGTCTTACACTTGCAAACTTTGTGGAAATAGTTTCATTGAAAAAGGAAACCTTAAAAGGCACATGAAAATTCACACTGGCGAGAAGCCTTACACATGCCCTCAATGTGGAAAGAGTTTTACTCGACAAGGAAGCTTTAACATGCACATGAGAATTCACACTGGCGAGAAGCCTTACACATGTTCTCAATGTGGAAAGAGTCTTACTCGACAAGGAAACTTTAACAGGCACATAAGAATTCATACCAAAGAGAAGCCATTCACATGCTCACAGTGTGGAAAGCGTTTCACTCAGCAAGGCAACTTTAACAGGCATATGAGAATTCACAACAGAAAGAAGCATTAAACCTGCAAACTGTGTGGAAGAACTTCACAATTAAACTAAACCTTAGGTATCATATGAACAGTTACACTGGTGAGTAGGGTTGCCAACCGTTCAGTATAATACAGAATTTTCTGGTATTTAATTCATCAGAGAAGTGTTCCGTATGAAAGCAATATGGAACACAGTTTGACCCGTATTCATAGGCATACGCCGTATGACTATCTAGACTAGAGGTGGGCAAACTATGTCCCGAGGGCCACATACGGCCCGTGGTCAAAAATGGCTAATTTGATGCAATGTCAGTAAAATCCAATAGATGGCGCGATGGCGCTGTAGCCTGCAGTGTTCCCCTGATTTTACGCTGACGCGGCCACTGGAGCTGATCGCAGCCATTCTAGTCAATGCTTGTGTTATACCAGCTGTGCCGCGGCACGTTTCTGAAGCTTCCCAGAAGCAGCTCTCTACGCCACTTCGCTATAGATAGGCGCCTAGTCTATTTTGACGGACGCCGCGTCCAAGCCGCACAGCTCAAATACAAAATAAAAAAATCTAAATGTACACCCTGTGGAAAACTGGTATAATTGTAACTTGTTTTAAAAATGTGAAAGTGATCATTTGTTTAAAAAAAAAAAACTTATATTGGTTGCCTACTATTTTCAAAATGCTTTATGCTCTGTAGACCTTCCAGTAGAACAAATGCCAGTGTTATCCTGCTCACGAGCACTGTAATTTCGTGGGAAAAACATGGAAATAATTTGTTGTTTTTTCTTGCAAAGATTACATTTTCCACACGTATTTTTATGAAAATGGATATAGTTATTTTTTTCTGGTTTATTCATCTGAAACGTGCTGCGATTTCCAAGGCGACCTATTTAAAGCAATCAGGTCAAGCTCAAAGCGCGCACATTAGGATTGGTGACGAATGAGAAAGGCAAGTGAGTTATTGCGCATTTTCCAGCAACCACGCTGTTAGTTTCAGTTTCTCTTTAAATATTTAGGTTAGGCATTTGTAATAAATGTTTATAGTGAATGCCCCTATAATTTGTGTTTGTTTTTTACTTATATTTTTATTCCTTTTTCTGTTCTGAACACTGCTAAATTTACAGGATTTTTTGTGAAGTGAGGGGAATATAAATACATGTTTCTAATGTTTGTAAATATTGTTTACATTATGAATTAAATGATAAAATGAGTCTTATACATCATTCGACTTGTACACCAATGCAACTTATCTGTGTCATAAAGTGCTCATAAAAATAAGGCAGAGATGGTACAAGAGTAGAACTGCCATGTATGTACAAGTACAGCACAGTAGTGGTCAATTTAATAATAAAAAAAGCTTCATTTGTCATACATCAAAACTTAATGTGGCCCTTGAGTCAAAATGTTTGCCCACCCCTGATCTAGACCATACAAATAACAAATTAATCATTCTTTTTGCACAAATCATTGTTTGATTTGCGAATGCCGCCTGGTCCCTCCCCTTCACCATCCACGTTTTGATTTTGCCAAATCAGTTTGGGTGAATGCAAAGAACGTGATTATTAATCATAAGCACAACATCCAGCTAGGATGTTGCAATCTACCTGATCAAGATGTCTTTCAGTATTGTAAGTTAATGTTGTTAAATAGAGAAACAAAATGACACATTTTTAAAATGGTAACTTCTAGCATATTCCTAAATCTGGACCTCATTAATACTGAAGAACAAATTCAAGCACCAAAAGCAGCCCACACACTCCAAGTTCTCTTTAAAAATATTCATTTTCATGAATTCATAGGCTATATGGTTGCAATAACATTTTAATTCAAAATTTTAAATGTCATTTAAAAAATGCTTTATTGATTAAAGTTTCATAGACGTTCAGTTGTTATACTTTGTCAAATTTTATGCCATATTGTATGTCATTTCAGTATATTCACCTCCTAAATTACTACACCACTTGTGCAGTCACAATTCTATAGTGGTAAAATTTACTCCGGCCGATGCTTTGTGTGTGACATGCGTGACATTTTTTTGCATGACATGCAAACTTTATTTTTTAGAATAATTTTACATCGGTTAAGCAAAACAAATGTGATTATTTCTGAGAACCTTTTATACACCTTTTATAGACGTACTTAACTGTAGACACGGAAAAGCATACTCTATGTGGTACAGAACAAATATTTTGTGTGTCCCTTATTCTGTCCCTTATTTTCCTATAAAGAATCACAGTTGTCCCTTATTTTAATTTTCTGAAGTTAGCAACCTGGTGAGAAGCCATTTTCTTTTGATTAGTGTGGAAAGAGCTTCAGACATCATATAAACCTATAAACAATTCAATAGTTACTTGTAACGGCTGGATAAACCAGACACCATTATTTGTTACAATTTACAAATAGTCCACTAACACTCTACACCAAACAGGCAAACCATTTTTTTTTGTTGTTTTTTTTAACCCTCCCCCCGAAATTTAAATAACCCCAAATGGACAGAACAGACCTTTGGTTACCACAGTAACCAGATAAACTTTATGAGTCTACCTCAAAATTCCCTATTGAAACTGACACACACTTCCCATAGAAAAGGACTTCTTCCCATGAATCCATAGGCAAACCTTTCTATGAATGAACAAGCATATTCCTTGGACAATGTGTACATCATTACTGCTTTTGTATATACAGT